GGCACAGCCAATCGAGACTTTTTGGGCTTTAACCAAAGCAAAGCTTCGAAAATTAATAAAACCAGCGGACGACATCCAAAAATTAAAAAAAGATTGGCCAAAAGTGGTCAAAATGGTGGGAAGTACCACTGTGCAGAAGCTAATGGGTCATGTTCGAGGAAAAGTTAGGAGTCTTGGCTATGATTAAATATGTTGATTAAACAAGAGTAACATATCATTTGAAATACAAATACAAATATGATTTGCCAAATAAAATTATTAAAACTTAAAAAAAACGTGACTTTTTTGTTATTTTGAAAGTGTGCTTATACTTTCCGAGAAAATCAGAAAATGTCTAGTTTTAAAATTGAATGTAATACAGCACTCTATCTCTTTCTAAAACTGTTCAGTAAATCAATCATAAACCTCCTCGGTATTTGTTATATTGATGTCGCAACCAAATACTCCATAAATGTGTTTTATCATAATAAAAGCAATTATAAAACCGTTCGGTTTCAAACGGGATCAAAAAGCATATATTGATGCGTTGTGGTGAACGAATGAAGTGTATTACAAAACCTCCCGCTGTTTACAAATATAACTAAAAAGATGGATCCATAAACCATAATCGAGTGGGACTTTCAAACGCAGAATCACAAGGAAATGCCAAAGGATAGTCGAGTAATAATTCTAACAATGCTGTCGATGGAAGAGAAGAGGAATCCAATTCCAGAACTTCCTGGGAGGCCCCACAGCGCCGACAAAACCGGTCAACAACAACAGAGCAGCCAACTTAGAAGAAGCTATCCATCACCTGCAAATTGGCTGCCTTCCAAACCATAACAACGATTTCATTCGGCGGAAGGTTTAACTGTTCCAAAAATTCCAAACAATTGCACATTAACTTCAACTAATCTGGGAGAAGGAAAACTTTTCGGTAGCGATTAAGCTTCCACCTGTTCCAAGCTACGTAGAAACACTCTTTGAGTAACTGACATGTCATAATTTACCTAAACAGGTAGCTAAATTTAGTCTCCAACAGATAGAAGCATGCTACCATGTGTGGTTTTAGGTAGCATGCTAAAGAGTCTCGAGTATCCGTTTCCTTGATCTCTATTAAGAAAGTTTGAGAGCTTGGGGCACAATTTGACAAAGGATAACATTAATATCCAGCGGAGTGTATCTTCGCCTTGGAAACTAGACATAGCTGAAAGTTTAGAAATATTTAAACATAATCCATCAACATTTCTTAATAGAGATTGATTGAAGGGTTTAACGGCTCTTTCAGTCTTTTTTTACAGCAGCAAAAACGTTGTATTGCTTCAACTCTCCGAAATATATCACCGAAACGTCGGAGAGTTGAAGCAATACAACGTTTTTGCTGCAGTAAAAAGACTGAAAGAGCCGTTAAACCCTTCAATCAATCTCTATTAAGAAATGTTGATGGATTATGTTTAAATATTTCTAAACTTTCAGCTATGTCTAGTTTCCAAGGCGAAGATACACTCCGCTGGATATTAATGTTATCCTTTGTCAAATTGTGCCCCTTTGTAAAGATATGTTCTGCAACCATGGATTTAAATTCATAACGAAGTCCTTTATCCATCTCTTTGTTAGCCTTTTTACCTCTACGATGTGTTTCTTAAACCTTGTTTTTAAAGTCCTTTTCATCTGACCAATGTAGATTTTATTGCAATCTGGACTAGAGATTTTACAGACTCCGACTTACCCTAAGACATTTATTGAATCCTTTATTGATCCTAACAGTGACTTCAGCTGATTTGTCCTGCTGCTGGATACTAAACTTCGAAATCAATGGTTTGGTAATGTTTTTGTCGAAATTCACCGCTGCCCGTTTTAAACCCTCAGTTACTGGTGCAAGAGTTGTCGAAATACGCCTAAAATGTTCCCTTGTTCTTTTATCGATTACTACTTGAATTGTTTTTTCTTGATACCCATTAAGTCTAGCGATTTCCTTTGATTTGCCTGTATCACTAAGAGGAAGAGTTTGCATCCTGTGAAAAGCGGTCATTTTGTGTTGATGGAAATGGTTTGAAGTGCTTGGTATTACTCTTTTTGTATTTGTTGGTTTCCTATAGATTTCGAAATTGAACGAAGACGTTTTCCTGATGATGAGAAGATCTAAGAAGGGAAGTTTGCCGTTTCTCTCTTCTTTGTGAGTAAATTTGACGTCCTTGTGAACGTTGCTTATGGCCTCCAAAGGTTTTGATAAATCTTCCCTTTTGACAATGCTAAAAATGTCATCCACGTATCTATACCAACTTAGGGCAACAAATTCCTATCCTCCAGAGTATTTTCTAGGTTAGCCATGAACAATTCACATGAAAATGGAGAAAGCCTCCATACAAAGACGAGTAAGCTTGAGATATGACCGATCTTTGTTTTTCCAAGTAGAATCCTCACATTGCTTCAGAAGCCAGTCCTCCTGATGGCTTCCTTCACTGGTACACTCGGAAAAAGTGCTCTGACATCAAATGCAACCACGACTTCATCTTCCCGAATCCCCAATCCACAGGGTTTAGGCATATTTTTAAATTCCTTTACTAGCCATTTGGCAAGCTTATGAGTGGGGGATCCTTCAGCCGAGATAATCTCCCTCATTTCGTTTCCTGGTTTGTGAATCTTTTGTAAACCTTTGATCCTAGGTAGAATAGGGTTTGAAACTTTCAATGGATTCGTAGTGTTGCCAATAAACGCTTTGTGTTAAGTTCTTTGAGAATACGAATTTTCTCTTTTTTGGTTTTACTTAGTGAATGTCCCTTTCCGTTTTGTATTGTTTCTGAAATAATATTCCTGGCAGTCTCGTGTAATTCAATAGGAAGTGTGTGAGTGATTGCAGTCTCCATGTCAAGGATGGCCTCTTCCACGTCAGGTTTTGATGAGATCGCATATCCAAATCCCTTGTTGAGAAGTGTCAATTGTTCTTCTGAGAACTAAATTTAGGTACCTGGTTAGGTAAATTGTGACCTGGCAGTGGATACCTGCCGATTTTAAGTACCTTTTGATTAACTCGTAGATAAAAGATGGATTCTTCAGTGGTGTTGAGTACTTGGCACTGATGAAGTCTGCAAGTAGTAGAAGAAATACGCGTATCTGTCAAAAGATAAGCAATTATAACGGAATTTAAAGGAAATAAACCAATACACTCAAAGCTCTTCATAAAGGGATTCCGTTAGGAATTTCGACAAATTTAAAAGATTAAGTAACTATATTTTGTCCTTAATTAAAAATAATTAGTCAAATCAACATTTTCCGAGGACGGACTTATTTTTTCGATCTTCCGAAGCACATTTCACATTAGATTTAATCTATCACCTAAAAATAGACCACAATATGAGTTTCGATAATTTTAGTAATTCTTTACCTTTAATGACGAGGAAATTTATGAAGATTTTTGACAGATTCATTTTTGAACAATGTATGTATCCCTTTTTATCTTGATTGATGCTTTATTATTAGTGCGCCTAGGTGCGTCAACGGTAAATGGTACGAGTATTGATGCGAAATGGCTTTTATTGTGCTTTTAATAAGGATTCCAATGGCTTTCTATGCATTCGTTAAATAACCTTTTTGCAGCAAGTCATTCTTGAAATGTCTCGAAAATACTTTAGAACCTTCTTAAGGAGGTTTTGGTGGATGTAATAAAGGCAAAGCTATCTTGACCAGAGTTTTATGAATGTTGTTTTAAAGAAGCCTTGTAGTACTTCATAAAACATTAAATGTTACTTGGGATAGAACTGTTGGTTGCGGTACAAAAAACCAACGAGGCTTAATTCCAAAATTACTTTTATTTTCAGACAATATTCCAGAAATGTTTATGCTGGAAGGTTACCGTACTTTGAAGTTTTTTGGAGAGGCAAAAAAATACGGTGATTACTTTATTATTGTCAGTACTGTACATCGATGAAGCAGAGCAAGAAGATCAACAGTCCATGGTGGTTACCCTGAGGATGCTGGTAAAATATATCGATGTTCCACCTATAGCAACCATCAGTTTGCCACACCGGTTCGATAGATAAATAGATAGAAGACTGTCGAACACAGATTGCACCCCTTCACAATCTCCAGCCACAATATATTCAAAACAGAGAGTGAGTACCTGCCATAGCACACTACGTCTTCTCATCTCTCTCAGCTCGCCAACCACGCGGTTTGCTCCAAACACTCACCCCTACGAGATTGCTGCGAGTGCTTTTACCACGACACGAGTCGAACACAATCCCGTGGTAAAATTTAATTCATTTTCAACCCATCCAACCAATCAGTCGTTCCGCGACAGCATAACACCACGCAAGCATTCGCAGCCGACAGTCGACAGTCGGGTTTGTCGCTTGGGCACCGTGTGAAGTCTCTTGTTGTGTTTTCCCGTGCAACAACAAATCATCCTGGAGGTGTTCTGCTCCAAGAGCGCGCTAAAAGTGCCTACTAATAACAGTTAAAAATAAGAAAGATTGCGTCCATCAGAAGAATAAAAAAAGCATAACGATAACGCTCCAACATTCATGGTTCATATTTTGCGTGAGCTCGGTGATTAACGAATAAAAAAAGAAGTACTGTGTGCCATTGTGAGTCCCCATCGCGCCAGAGTCACGCCGAAACAAAAGTGGAAGTGAACAAACAGAAAGCCAACATTATAGCATAAATATTAATACACAAAACGCGGCTTCATGACACAGAGGAAAACCGAAAACAGAAAAAGATCGTGAAAAGTGAGAATCCAAAAGATTAAACTGTGTGTTCAAACCCGCCGAAAAGCCTGGCCACGACAATCGACAGCATCGATCGTGGGTAACTACCTACCTACCTATCTGCCTACCTACTATCTACCTACAAGCACAGTGTGTGTATATCGAAGGGGCGAAGAAAAAGAAGCTTATTAATATATTAATTTCTTTTTGATTGATATGTTGTGTGTTGAATGAAAACATAAAAACGTGAAAGAAAGCAAAAGCTTCAGAGTGCGGCGGTGTCGGGCTGGAAGACGGTGTGTGATTGGTGTGTGTCCCGTCCCCTCCTCGGGTGTGGAAACGAGCAGAAGAAGATCGGACTCGGTGCGGGGCGAGGGGAGAACTTCTGCGTGGTTATCCAAAAACGGCGTGCGAGCTCTGAAGGAGTCCTCTTGGAGTGGAGCTGTCGTTCGTTGGTGGTGCCTTCCCCGGGATCCAGACGGCAGGGGACAACGGGTAAGAGTGATTTGTTAGGGTGTTTCGAAAAATTAATCACGGCGATAATACTTCCCCGAAATTGATTTTGACGGGACTGAGTTAAAAAGTGATGCAGGATGCAGGAGTTTGATAGGAAAGTTATGATCGCATTATTTCACTTAACAAGTTTCATGCGTTATCAGGGAAACGCAATTTCAGATAAGTGTAAATGATGCAAATTATATTGAATCGAAGACTTATTGCCATCATTTTGAATAAATATCCACTAGCGTGGTTCAAAATATTGATTTTGTTTCATCTACCGAAATCAGGTCTTGAACATTATTCCAAAATTTGAGCTCACTTGGTTGCAAACTCGTACTATACTGACCTTTTGGAGTTTATATGGGAATTGCTGTTGGAAAAGTGAACTTTTTGTTGTCATCACGTGGAACGCCACACAATGAGTTTATTGCAACGACACCTTTCCACAAAAAAAGCTTTAACAAAGCAGCAATCCTAGTTTGAGTGAGCTATCATGCAACGTGTGAGGTTAGACTGGCCCACAAAGATAAAAGTTCTAATTTTGCACGGGCCAACCCCTAGATTTGTGCCTTTAGGTGAGAAAACAATTATCCGAAAGTTTCAGCTCAACAAAAAGAGCTGAAACATTCAGAGAGTGCTCATCTCACCTATTGACACGAGCCTGAATGTTGGCCTGTAGAAAATATGAACTTTAATTTTTAGTGGAAATCTAGTTGATACGTTGCATTGCCTGTATTTTGTAGCAATATACGAACAGAATGCACATAATTAATTAATATCTCCATAATACTAATTTGAATCGGGATTCTGTCTTCAGCAAAGTTGTTCCTTATAGTTTAAGCTACGTTTGTTGAAATTCTGAGCTTAATCGAGTTTGCTGAACCAGTTGTATCCACGAAAGAGTGAAAGAATATAATTTCTCCATACATTTCAACTAATATCCCCATATAAATTTTTAATCAAAAGCGCCAGCTCGTGTTACATCTGAATGAGCTGAAATTTTCGGAGATTGTTTTTCTCACCTAATGGCACAAATCCCCATATAAATGTAGGCCAGTCTAGTGTGAGGTCACTGCATAAACGAGCTTGCATTTTACTCAAAAACAACAACGCGAACAGTAGCTGATCTAGGTACTCCGGACATTCTGATAAACGTGAACGTAAAGAGTCATAAAAATTGAAACGCACTTGAAGAGTCCTGAAGTTGTTTGGATTTCCCTTAAGTTTCCGACATTTTTCTGATATTAATGGAACTGCACTGATTTTCTCAGATTTGCCATGATGTTCACGTATTTTTCCTTAAAATCTTAAAAATTACCAGATGTTTTGTTAACTTCTGTAAAGTTCCAGCAATTTTCCGTAAGTCCATTGAACTGCCAGAAATCTATGGAACTGCCTTAAGCTATCGGAGCTTATCCTTCCCCAAAGATCTGAGCGATCTTTATATTCTTGAAACTACTCTAAAGTTTTATGAACTTTCATCATGGTCTTGAAACTTCGATAGGCACTACGACTTCTTCTCTGAATAGCTCCATGCATTCGACTGGCTTCGAATCATGTTCACAAGCTGCAACGGACTTTGGAATGCTTTCGCTGATGACGATTACATCCCGACTGATTATGAATTCGTTTCGCTATGGGTCGTATACACGATAGCCCTTGGTATCTTCGCAATATCCAATGAACACACCTTTCACCGCCTTTGGATCGAACTTTTTACGCTTCATCTTCGGAACGCTTGAATCAAAAGCTCGTAAATTCTTCAAGCATGGTTTTCTCCATGGACATCGCAGGAGAGCAATTCACCAAGTATGCTGCCGTTGATACCACTTCTGCCCAAAATTCCTTCCTTAATCGTGTACCATTTAGTAGACAGCGAACCTTCTCCACCAATGTGCGGATCAGCCTTCCGCCATACCGTTTTGCTCCGGTTTATAAGGACAGGTTTTATGATGACATATTCCATCGCCCTCTAAGGCTCGTCAAAATTAGTCGCTTAGCTATTCCCCTCCATTGTCGATTCGAAGAATCTCACTCTTTGCTTGACACGATTTGAACGCCTTAAACGCTTGATTATTTGTTTGCAGAAAATAGGCAACAGCTCGCTTGTTTGCTTCGTCCACAAACGTGATGAAATAACGATTGCCACCCAACGACACAACAGGTCGGAATGTACAAGCTCCTGAACCTTTGATGTTCTTGTTTCACTTCTCTGGAACGGTAGTTGAGCTTGTTTGCCTAGTAGTCTGTAGTCTGCCAACCGCTTGAGCTGCTTCAAACTAGCTTCGTTCAAGTGACCCAATCTTCGATGTCACAACTCGATGTCGTTGGTAAGAAATTACCGTTTCGATTTTACCACACGGTACAGTCCGCCTTCTTCGACTCCATGGATTATCAGTTTACTATCATCATCTAGCACCTCGCACTTGTCTGCCGAGAAACTAACTTTATGGCGTCGTTTGCACATCGTACTTACTGACAGCAGGTTTGTTGGTAAGTCCGGGATATTCAGAACATCATCAACATAAATGGAGTCGTCCCGCTTTTGCAAAACCTGGGTACCTCTCGCCACGGCCTTCATAAAACCATTGTTTGCCGTTCCAACGTCGTGTTCTATCGCCATCTCTTCAACAAACCTCTTTTTTGGTTATGCCATGTGGCACGTCACTCCCGAGTCAATACACCACGCATTTCTCTTGACATCACCCATCGCAAAAATGCTGCTGAGCCCTTTCGACTTTTGCTTCATCCTTTCGGGACATCTGGCAGCGAAATGCCCAAGCTTACCACAATTGAAGCACGTCTTCTCAGCCTTCGTCTTATTATATTGGACCTAAGCTTTCCTGGGTTCGTCCCTTGACGTCTTGCAAAATCTTGGCTTTGACCGAATTCGATGACAATTTCACGCCAGACGCCTCCAATCCCATGATCACTGGCTCGTAATATTGTCCCATCAGGAGCAACGCGACTAACCACAAATCATCCACCTTGAAACCAATCGTCGAAAGCTTGTAGCTGGTAGACATTAGCTCGTTGACTTATAGCTAATTGTTTTACTATCGGGGTTAACACCAGTTCCAACCTAGTGCGAAACTGAACTTTTTGTCAGTGTGAACCTCAACCTGAGCTAGGTTTTAAAAACAAACGAGCATTCTGACGTTGGTCAGAAAGCAAGCAGACCCAATCTTGATACCCGGTCCAGGTTGGAACTGAATAATAAACGAATTCGCTATAAGTCTATAACTAACGTAGGGGAACAATCTTCTTTTCAAACCAGAGCCTTCCGCATCCCGAACCAGGCTATAATTCTAGCTTTCTAGGCTCAGGCAAATAGTTGCCAAGGTAACCCGTCGTAACTCGAACGCTTCCTGCTTCAGTTTAACTTCCGCTTCTGCTGCTACCGTGGCTACCTACAGTTGAAATCTTGAAAATTTATTCTACACTGAAAAAAGTTTTCACTTAGTTTCTATTAGGAACGCACATAATATTTTTCCAAAAACAAAAACAATGATTTTTACCTGAATATCACATAGCATTAGAGATTCTATATGAGAAATCATATAGATTTTATTGGACACATAACGTTCATGTGATTTAGTGGTGCAATTTACAATTATGGGATCACATGAAAGTTATGTGAAATTCACATGGATATTTTCCACTGGTTATGTGATTTATTTTATGAGTGTATTATTTTCTTTCGGTTAGGTCCTGGGCCCATAACTATAGTCACTATATTCATAGTCTGGCGGATAGAATCTCGGGAACCAATTGAGCTGTCAAATAGCGGAACCAATCGAGTAAATCACGACCAACAACAGAAAAGAGCATATCAGCAAGAATTACCTACACAAACTAACGCCATCTTTAGGTTGTGGACAATTTCCCCTATCCGATGATGCTGGTGAGGAAAGAATAATCAACGTTTTGTTTATAAAAGTTGATAGTACCTTTTCAATGGTTGGTCCACAATATATTGAAATGGTTCCGCCAGACTATGAATAGTTAAAAGAAAAACCGGTGCTTCGGGTTTAAAGGAAAAAATAGAGTCGGTGTATAATGAGTCACGCCATGAGTGAAGCCAAGGCTACCTATTGAACCGTCAAACCAGCTACCTATCGTGCAAAGAAAACAAACATTACGATGCTATGAAAGGTATTGCAATAAAATATAAAATATAATCGAAGAAATGAGCATACACACGCAGTGAGCATTAAACTGTCATGTAAAACGTTCGGTTATGATCAGTAATGAGATTTTCTACTATTTTTTGTTAAGATAATTTAACAAAGTCACTGATATAATGATTTACTGCAGCCGCATTTTTTTTTTCTCTCGCTAGAAGTCATTTGAAGTTGTTGTAGAAGTTCTCTGTTGCCAAGTGAAAAAAATTGGGAACCCGTGATGCGAGTTCAACTGTTTTTTCTCTTGGCGTGACTCATTATACACCTGGGAAAAAAGTGGAATGAACTTAGGATTGGGCGATCTTGGAGAGATCGATCTTTTTGATCTCGCTTTTCGATTTTTACGATCGTTTCTTTATTTATTGAAAAATCGTAAAAATCAATCTTTCCGTTCGATCTTTTTGATCTTCAAAGCAACAAACGAATGTAATTTTTGTGCATAGAAAAACTGATTTCCATTCACCCCAAACCTAAATTTAATGAACATTTCCAGAAACTTAGCAACAGCATAGTCGCTCATAATGTTGTATAAAATAGGGCTGAGAATATAAATTTGATATTGCGCATTTTGTAACTTCTTAGACAACTGTGCAGAAAATTTCTGCACAGTGAATATTTTCGCACACCCAGCGTACACCTATCTCTTACTCACACAAACGTAGCCTAGCTATGTCAAAGAGAAAGATCGGGCAATACTAATTTTATAGTCTCTTTCATTCCCCTACTGTTACCATTTAACAACAAGTGTGACGTCAAACTCACTGTTCCATTCGAATGCGAGCGAAGGAAAAAACAACAAGCTGCACATTG